TGAAAACGGCTGTTGATTTGGACTACGACGTCGCTTCCGCGGCGGTTTGAGTGGGCGCTGGTGCCCTGTTGAGAGCCGTGAGAACGGCTGTTTAGGTGACGGTGCGGGTGTGAACCGTGGGCGCTGATGCCCTGTTGAGAGCGGTGAAAACGGCTGCTTGAGGAGCTGCTGTTGAAGGCTGGCTGCAAGTTGAGTGGTGTTGGACTTGTTCGGATGTGAACTGAAGTATAATGATGATGTGATGATGATACACACAATTTTTTTATAAGCATTTAAAGTTCAAATATTTCTTTTTAAATCTAAGATTTGAAAATTTAATAGGTACAAGATTACTCATAAGTTTATCTACTTTTATCAAAAAAAAAAAAATGTCTACAAGCAATTTAAATTAACGTTTGTAGTTCATAATTTTTACAATATTGGATATTCACTCGATTTCTCACGTAGCGGTTTTGTTATTTTATCGTTATTCAAAAACAAATAACTGTAGATACATGAACATTTTACTGAATGTTTATATTTTAAATTTCTATACACCATAAAAATTTGATAATATTTTGACTTTTTTTGAGCTGTTTACGGACATTGTCAGTTTTCAATTTTCTTAGTTTTCTCTTCTATAAATATCAATAAAATTTTATTTGTTGGGTAAAAAAGCATGACAATTTAATGCAAGGCTTCTAAAATATTGTAACAATATCAGATTAAAAATATTAAAAATATATAGGCACAATTTTTTTTTATAAGCATTTAAAGTTCAAATTTTGACAAAATTTATTATTTTTAAATTTAATAATTATTTTGTAGTAAAAAATTTATAAAATTTTCAACTTTTATAGCTAAGGATTGAAAATTTAAAAGAAGGGTCCACGTAAATAGGTAAATATATAAATTACTTTATTCACGATAATATCATCAAATATACTTCGTAATATCATAGACTGAATGACTGTTTTCACTCAGAATCGTTTTTCTTAAACAATGATATTATATATCTTTGACATACGTATCTCCAGCCCCCCCCACATAAGAATTTTGTTTTGAGGTGGTAGTTTTGAAGGGGCTGGGAACACGAGACAATTAGGAAACAGGATTTTACGAACCAACGGATTACAATAGAGTTGCTGGACGATGATGCTAAGTATTGGCGTAGAAACTATTTTGAATTTCCAAGTATTTCCCAAACTGGGGGGGACTGGGGACACGTGCAAATTAAAAAAACGAATATTGCGAACCATCGGATGACGGTAGAGCAGTGATGCCAGGCTTGCAAATACCTGCTAATTACATGAAAATAATTTGAAAATAAGTTTTTGTGATGTGTGGGGGGGTCGAAGACACGTGTCTACAGCCCCCCCACCTATTTTTTTTATACCACACCTAATTAAAACGCATGCAAATTACAAAATTTAGCATGCAAATATATGCTAATTGCATGCTAATTATTTGCCAAAAAAAATTGGAAAATTCTAATGTGGGGGGGGGCTGGAGACACGTACGTATATCATTAAATTCAAATTTAATACCATCCATTATATATTGACCCACTTTTTCTATTTGAGTATGTGACGAAAACTACAGTTGACATTTTATGCAGACATTTTTAAATTCTAAGCCAAGCATATTTTTGACTGAAACAATCACTTAAGATTATTTTTATACTGAATATTGGAAAAAAAATTGTAGAGAGTCATTTTTTGATACTTCACTTTCATAATATAAAACGGCACACCAGGTTTCCTAAAAATGTTGGTCAAAGATTTTTACTTTTTAATACAAGGTTCTTGGGAAGTCGTTCTTATAACGATTTAAAAATATCGTAAATACATAAATATAGGCACTATTATGTTTGTTTCCGGCTTGTAAAAAAACAAACTAGTAGCAAATTCGTAACAAATTATTGATGTTTGGTTTGAGGCTATAGTACTAATTTATGGACATCAATTTGGGCATGTAACAGTTGCCAACAAAAGTACATTATTTTATAACGATTCCCCCGAACTACCTAGAGCAAAATGTACCAGTTGCCCTCAACCGAATGTACCAGTTTCCCTCATATGTAAATATACAAATAATAATTATAAATAGTAATTATTACCTATAACAAAACATAGTACATAATATTATATCTAATTTATTTACTGATGTTTTTTTTAATTATTAGATTATTGCATAAAAATGAAATTGAAAACATCGAGACTGGGGTTTTTAATAACTTAACGAGTTTGGAAGAATTATACTTGAATAACAACAATATTCAAAAGCTTGATTCGGAAATATTTAAAGGGCTTACAAAACTGAATACACTGTAAGTATTAAACAGATTTTTCATCTGATCGTATTGTATAGCAGAGTGAAAATTACATTTTATATTTTATAAATCGGCTACCACCGAGCTGTAAGTATACGGTAAATAATACCAACTTTAAAACGCCGGGTGTCGAGATTGAAAATGTACTTATAGTAATTTACTTTGCCCGAGTATTGCGAAATCTAATTTATCAATAATTGTATTAACGCCAGTGCCATTTTTGTGCAGGATGCAAGGTGGGCATTTTCCCGTTTTTTTTTATTAAACGCCATTTAAATTGTATTTTAATTCGAACTATATTGTTAGGTATATAATTGGTACTTTTTAAAAATTAATTATTAGAGATGTAAAATGTACGTACATTTTTTTTCGGTAATTTACGTAAAATACGTAAAAATTTACTTAAATTTACTGTAAATGACGTAAATTTGGTAAATTTTGAAAATTTTGGTATGTTACCATAGGATGAACACCCCGGAAACTCCTCTCTTTCGCATTTCCATGAACTTGTAATTATGGTAACATTGACCAGGCTTGTTCCTGGCTTGTAAAAAAACAAGCTAGTAGCAAATTCGTAACAAATTATTGATGTATGATTTGAGTTTGCAGTACTAAGTGATGGACATCAATTTGACTCCTTGATTCAGACGATCACTGTTTTCACTCAAAATTAAACGTGTGTTTTTAAAACATAATATATTTCATAGTCAATAACTATATTAAACTGTAATTTCGTTGTAAAGTCAATGGTCCGCTTAACGTTAATATTATCGTATAAAAAACTCGTTTGTGACAATCAGTGTAGTCACACTACCCAGAGCATATAATAAAGAAATATCGAATTCTCCGAATTCTGCGTACGGTTCAACTTATTATCTTTTAAGTCCCAAAATTAACATGATAGATTTAGGGAAAAATTAAAATTTTTTTATAATAACAAGAGCCATAACGCATGCAGGGTCGATATTAATGAAAACAATAATTATATCGGTATTATACATGATCGATATCCGTAGGTACCTAAGTACAAAAACAAATAGAAAGACAATTAAAATAATTTAGGCACATAACACGAGGGCGAATAATATTATAAAATAACCATATATTTTGTATGATAATAATTAAACAAATTGTATTGTATTCCAGGGACTTGACTAATAATAAAATCAGGGATATCGAGCCGAAATTATTAACTAATCTCACAGAGTTGAAGAAATTGTGAGTTATAATATACCTAATATAAACACTTTTAAATGCATAGACATTAATAATAAATTATAATCCAGAATGTAAACAAATTTTCAGATCGTTGAGAAACAATAAAATAAGTGAAGTGAAAAATGGTACATTTGCAAGCCTTTCGAAGCTTCGGACATTGTAAGAATATAAAAATATATATCTCCCGCCGGTAAACCGCTTTATCGGAACAGTGCGATGAGTATTATTTATTGATAACGGTACATTTACGCTATTATCGTTTTTATTATTATTAAAAATGGTGTTATTACTTATTATTATTAGCCCGCCGGTAACTGCTTGGTCGGAGCCGGCCGGTACGTTGTAGAGGTATCTCTTATTATTTTGTGTTGCCTATTATTATTTTTTTTTAAAGCCTCTAGAATAAACTATGATAGCTTGACAGTTACATAATAAAAACAAAACAATACAAAATTATGATTAACAACATATTAAACTCTCATATACTATATAATGAAGCCAGGACTTCAGTATAAAGGCGATTATCATTTTAATAGCTGTTTCAGATTTGGTGTTTAAGATGGAGTAATATGTTTTTTATTTTTTTTTTTTTATTTAAGAGATTTTCATTTATAAGTTATTATATCTCAACAATTACAAAAAGAAACAAAAAATGTATGTCGTATATAAAAGTGGTAAGGTAAATCGGAAAAGGATATATGGAGTGGACGAGATGGGAAGTGTAATTTTGTTAATTAGGGAAGAGCCAATAGAAGAGGATTTAAAATACATTTTAAATCTTCTATAAATTTGTTAATGACGTGGAGAGGTTGATTGACTGATTATGAGTTGGCTGTGGTTTTTTCATAAGGTATCGGTTTTAGAATTGAGTTGTAATTGGGGACGTTGATGATTTGTCGTGCAACAGGTTCAGCAGATGGTGGGATGGGGTAATTTTTCGGTTTATCAACTTTATAATATATCCCACTCTCATTTAAAAATATATATTAAAAAAATCCACGGCACTCCGGCTTTCGGGTCTCGGACCGTAGTTGGCGACCGTGAAATAGGTTCGAGGCGGCCACATGACTCTCGATACATGAGTAATATGTTCGAGCAGTCACAAGGTATAATATACCTATTATAAACACTTTTAAATGCATAGACATTATCAATTATAATCAAGAATTTAAACACATTTTCAGATCGTTGAGGAACAATAATATAAGTGATGTGAAAAATGGTGCATTTAAAAACCTTTCAAATCTTCGGACATTGTAAGAATATAAATTAACAAAAAGCTACTGATTATATATTTATTTATATAGTATTATTACCTATATTATATTTTCTATATATAATAAATTATTTAATTATTAGAGTATTGGATTGAAATGAAATCGAAAACCTTGAGACTGGGGTTTTTAATAACTTAACGAGTTTGGAAGAATTATACTTGGACTACAACAGAATTCATAAGCTCGATTCGAAAATGTTTAAAGGACTTACAAAACTGAATTTACTGTAAGTAGGTATTAAACACATTTTTCATATGACCGTATGGTTTAGACGAGTGAAAATTACATTTTATATTTTATAAATAGATATTCGGACAACAATATCATAAGAAAAATTCCACATGTGATATTAGATTCATTAACGTCATTGGGTCGTTTGTAAGTCTGCATGAACTGCGTAAAATATATATATTATTTATATTATTTTAATTGTTATACTTTCATTATTTGAATTATATATTTGTCTAAACAAAACATTAATGATTTTAACTATAGACGGCCTGACAAAAACCCGTTGACGTGCGATTGCGATATTCTGTGGTTTATAAACGCGCTGAAGAAAAGTCACCACCCACGAGTTGTACTCGGGAATTCCAACCCTTTGTGTCATTATCCCGTAGAAATGAGCGGAAAATCGTTGTTGGAAATTACCGAAAACGATTTTCATTGCGGTGAGAAATCATTCTAATTGAATAAAAAGACATAAAATATATAATACTAGCTGATCCCGTGCACTTCGTTGCCCTTAAAAATTTGTGATTGTTTAAATCTTTTTGGTTGTAACTCGCAACACTAAGTGCAATTCAGCCACCCCGAACAAAGATACATTAAATAATACATTTGGCGTAAAACGTAACTTTTAATGCCCTAGACATATATATATATAGCCGTACCCTCACGGCGTTGCCCGTGAAAAGAATTGCAAGTCAAATACCCTTTACATTTTTATTATTGTTGTAAAACATAATAACATGTATCGAATGAAAAAAATTATATTATAGAAAAATTTTTATTAATCATATATTGAAAATAAAATAAAATAAAATTATATTGAATCATATATCATTAAATTTATTTGGTTAGAGCTTCTCTGTAAACGATATTTGATGTTGTTTTATTTTGTGGCAGCAAAATAAATTGATTATCAACAGATCCAACTGGTGATAGGCCCACATACAGTTGGCCATGAGTAAAACGGGCGATTGTAAACTCCACCGATTTACAGGTAGTCGATTTTAGGATTGGATTTATAACATGTAAATTCCACCGATACATTTTTTTTACATGAAAAAAAAATGTAAACTCCACCGATACGTATTTTTGACCTGAAAACACGTAAACTCCACCGATGGTAAAATCCACAGATTAAAACTATATGTATAGTGTATACACGTCAACTTTCGATTGACTTATCTTAAACTTGATGGGTTGTAGGTTTCATGTTACACAAAGTTGGTGGAGAGCAATCCAAAGATTTGGTTTAACTGAAGATTATAAAAAAAAAACGAAGTAGGTGATTGGCTTAGAATTTGCTTTGGATTAGTATTTTTAGCTTCTGAAGATGTTTCTAATTTTTTTGGAATAGAATTAATGTCTATAAAGCCCGAAAGCTCCAAATTAACACAATTTGCAGATTATATTTTAGACACCTATACATTACAGAAGAAGCATTATTTTTACCAAATATTTGGGCTCAATGTAGTGCTGAATTGAATTTAACTACGAATGCATGCGAGTCGTTTCACTCACATTTAGCTCAGTCCTTTGCTAACACACATCCAAATATACATCACTTTACAAAAGCTCTACTAGATATTCAATCATTCATTTACATTAAATTAAACAGTATTAATGAACCTAATAACCTTAGAAATTCACAATCAAAGACACGCCAAAAATATTTAAACACCATCATTTCGTCATTTAAGGCAAACAATATTACCATTATGCAATTCATCAAAGCTGCATCTAAACATTATCAAACCAAATTTTAAAACCAAACAAATTTTTTAAAACCTAAATTTTCTTTAAGTAATTATTTTTTTATTCATTTATTTTAATTAACATTATTTTAACTACGAACTAGTGATTATTAATTATAATTATATCATTTATTTTAATATTGTGTAAAAAAAGATATAAGTATCTAAATATAATATATATAAATAATAAATCTGTACATAAATTATGTAGGAACGTACCAGTGGAGTTTACATTTTTTTTTCAGGTAAAAAAAACGTACCGGTGGAGTTTACATGCACCCAGTAAAACATTCCTTTCGTAGGTCGATCCCTACTAATTCGAAGGTTTGACCTTGGGACTTGTTAATAGTCAACTCGAAAGTTATTTTCACCGGAAATTGAACCCGTTTATACGGGATTGGCAGATCATTTGGGATCATCAGTATCCTCGGAATATGAGCTAGCTGACCAGCTGCTGGGCCGGTAATAATGGTCGCTACAATTAAATTGTCCTTTAATTCCTTAATAAGCAGTGTTGTTCCATTGCACATACTCGGAGGGCTTAAATTTCTCTAAAGCATGATTGGAATTCCGATTTTTAACGTCAATTCGTGTGTTGGCAGTCCAGAAGGATTCAGTGAATTTAAAAATTCCTGTGGATAATGCACTGCGTCTTCGATGTTCGTGACGGTGTCGATCGATCTGTAGATTTTTATTTGGCCAGAAACTTTTTGTAAAATCATAATATTGTTTATTTCGTTGACAGAATCATTCCTAGGTGACACTATTGCCCTCGAACAAAACCAATGAAAGTCCTTTTCGTGCCGATAACGGTCGTACATCACAGTCGTAGGCATTACTGACATATTATACTAACTAATTCTCCTATGATCAATAGGCAATAGCCACCATTTTCAATAAACAACAACCAATAATTATTATTTATTATTATAATAGCTTTAAAACCCATGGGAACTATTTTTAAACACAAATTTCTATCGTAAATCTCAAAATTCCAGTTTGAGCACCTCCCCTGGGTGATCAATTCACTTTTTAAATTAGCCTATATTCATCAATGATAATGTCGGCTTCTAATGGTAAAACAATTTTTAAAATCTGTCCAGTAGTTTCGGAGCCTATTCAATACAAACAATCAAATCTTTCCTTTTTATAATATTAGTATAGATAATATTATATTATGTTATTATTTACATTATATAGGTACTTATTGTCTGCAACAGTGCTATACCTATTTATTGTTGTACAGCCGGCTATAAGTGCGTTTCGCCGTAATGGATTATAATTGTTTGACTGATGTAGTGATGTTGTCAGGAAAGAGTTATTTTGTTTAATAATGTGGTGATTTTTACGTATGTATTATATGTATTGTTGTACATTCAGCGTCTCCCGATGTAATCGTGGTACCAGAGAACAAGACGGTGTCGGTCGGTGAACAGTTACAACTCTCGTGCAAAGCTGTAGGAAACCCGGAACCTTTTATAACGTGGGTCAAAGACGACATCGATCTAGAACTTAGCCAAAGAGTTCAGGTAAGATTATTTTGATAGGTATACGGTAATTGATCTTTCAGGCAAATCCGGTGAAAAATCAGCTTATATATAATCGTTCACTGTTGTTAAAATATGTTTTATTAATTATTTTTTTTATATTCATTGCATAAACTCAAACTTTTTATTAGAAATTATTCCAATAATTTTGCATCCCTAAATATTTTCTATTTGATGCAACTATATACTCCTGCTCCTCGACCCATAAAGAATATAGAACAAAATCCAACCACCAAAATCTCGTTTGAACTGTTTAAGTTTAGAAAAATATTGCCTACCACTACTAATAATTTTTAGATTCTGAGCGGAGTGATGAATGTATTGATTTTACAATGATGTGTGCTTTTTTTTTGTATGTCATCACCTTTTCGGACAGTAAAAGTGCTTGGATTTCCTTCAACTGTTTTTTTTCTGAAAGGAAAGTGAATAAAGTTGGTACTTTAGGAGGGTCAAAAATAAAAATTTGAAATTCATATTTTTACAAGATTAGATCACTCGATTTCTCATGTAGTGATTTTGTTATTTTTTTGTAATTCAAAAACGAATAATATTATAGATATTATATTATATTATATTATATTATATTTAGATGTAAATTTCATTGAATGTTTGTTTTATCATTTCCTATATTTGACAAAATATTCAAAATATTTTGACTCGTTTTACTCTGTTTACGGACAATTTCAAATTTCAATTTTTTATTTTTGCGTGAAAATATAATACATGGCTCCTAATATATTGTTACAATTATAGCAGTTGAAAAATATTAAAAAATTGGGATCTTATTAGATTCACATTGATTAGGAGAAGTGCAGTGAAGATTTTCAGAACTTTATCTACTATAATCGTTAATTCACTACAAATATGTAAAGCTGAAAAACATCAAAAAACGCCCGATAAAATTTGTTTTAATTTTGTTTAATGTTCTGCAGGTAGTGAATTAACTGTTAAAGACAAAGTTCTGAAAATCGTCACTACAAATCTCCTAACCAATGTGAATCAAACAAGTCCCCAAACTTGGTTTCGGAGATCTATCTCACTAAATGAAAATGAAAAATATGATTTTTGGTGGGACTGTTTCACTTTTCTGGATTCAAATTGTTATACCGCTTGGATGTGATATAAGTTAATAAATTTTTAAAAATTAAAAATCAAGAAAGTTTAGATGCCAATCCTTGACTTGGCAAGCGTTTTTTTACAAGCATTTTATGTCCGACTTTTGACAATATTTATCAAATTAAAAAAGTCAAAAATGATTTTGTAGTTAAAAATTTATAAAATGCTTAACTTTTATATCTAAGGATTGAAAATTTAAAACAAGGTTCCACGTAAATGGGTTGTATAATATAAATTACTTTATTTACAATAACATCATCAAATACGAGTATACTTAGTAATACCATAGGCTGACTGACCGTTTTCACTCAGAATCGTTTTTCTTATATGTACAATGATATTATATCATTGAATTCAAATTTATTACAATCCATTACAGTGACCCACTTGTAACCTTAAAGTGATCTTATAGAGATTTAAAAATATTGTAAATACATAAATAGGCATTTTATTTGAAGTCAAAACGTTGGCATTTGTTATCAAATCAATTACCTAAGTAGTTAAATAATGTTAAAAAAGTATAAACAATATTTATTAAGCATGCAATGATTTAAAATTTTTAAGACGTATCTACCTATTGTCATAGTTGACCTTTATCATATATTATTTTACTTTATAATATTTAGTGTAGTATATTTAAAATTACTGTACTATCCATTAAAATATTAATCCATGGTATACTACTTACTGAAGGTATTTCAAAACAATACATTGATTATATCTAAAGCGGAAAGAACGGACGGAGGACATTATAAGTGCGTGACATCCAATTCTCTTGGACGAAAATCTTTCCAGGCGATGGTTAACGTAAACGATTAAACGGTAATATCACGTATATCACTATAAAGTCGTATACTATTATTATAATATTATCATAAGAGTTCTAAAACTAGTGTGACTTAAAAATTTCAAAAAACTGAATATTTTGCATAATGCATCCTTCGTCAATCACTCTTTGTATGATACAAAAATAAAATAAACATAGTTATAACCAGGCGCGGATCTAGAGCTATAATTAAGGGGCTTCATTTTTTCGGAAGGATAAAAAGATAATACACAATTAAAAATTAATTAAATTAAATTATTAACAAAAATTAGAACATTATCAATTATTGTTAAGAGGACACCCACATGTGTTGTCTCCGTCTTGAAAGCATTGAAAAAACTGTTTTGCGAGCGTAAGAATCGAGAGGTTACAGTCTTAACTAAGAAAATATATTTTCCCCACATAAAAAGATGACACTGCCTGTTAAATTCTGTTTTTATTTTTTCGAAAAAAAATTATTTAAGTTTGAATAACACAAAAACAATGGATTTTGAAACAATATCAACGTTACGTATAATTGATACCAATAAAATAATAACGATATTTCGCAGATTATGTTCTGAACTATAATATTATGTATATCTATATCAATTTAGAATCTTAATTATCACTATAATTTGTTATCATTTTAATTTTACACGTAATACAACACAATAACTAATCAATACACAAGACATACGTGAACGTTAAATGAATAAAAAAAATACAAAATATATAACTTTTACCCACTTAATATATATTATTTTTTTAAATAACTATAATATTATGTATAAATTAATTTAGGTTTGGCAGAAAATGGTTGTAATACCATGTTTGGAGTAATACCATGTTTTTTTATTATTATTATTATATTAACGAATTGCGTATTGTATAATGACATATTGTGAAAAATCTATTATTATTATATTAGTGACTTGCGTATTGTGTATATGTCATATTGTAAAATATAAAATAAAGTAACCAGAACTGGCAGACCAACAATATAGCTTATTATTTTACTGTACAATCGACTGTTTTTATCTTATACGATAATTTCTATTGATAGATACTATATAATCATCACTCCAAACCTGACAACACTGCGACTTCATTTAATTACCTTAAATTTATTGTACTTTATTAAATGTAATTTGTTAAATTGTAATTATTACTAGTATTAGGGTATTAGTGTGTTATTAGTTATTTCTGTTGTTAGTTATTATTGTGTTCGCACCTCGTGTACGATAATATATTGATGTTATTTAATTATAAATATGCCGACTAAAGTGTACAAACAAATAATAAAAAATAAAGAAAAGTACTTATTGAATAAAAAAAGAAACATAGCAACTTATTAAATTTCCCAGAAAAACTGTTGTCACGACAATTTTCTAAAAAATGTATGATGTCACACCAAAAATCTTTAAGCATGCTTTTTAGTGCACTTAGTGCTTTTTAGTGCACTAAAAGATGTGATATCATAAATATATGTTAAGTATATCGAATTAAAGTACACTTATTTTATTTCAAAAATTTATTTACTTGGCGAGAAATTATAAACTTTATATGACACGGCACACGAAATATCGTGAACAAAATAAACAAAAGGCATTAGAAGTTTATGTTAATTTAAAATATATAACTCAAAATATTTTCTCGCCAAGTAAATAAATTATTGAAACAAAATAATTTTTTTTTTTTGCTTAGAAGTTTTATACACAGATTTTGACCAAGTGTTTTTGTTGTGATACATTTACACGGATTGAGAATAATCTTACATGTCGTTCGAATAATTATCGTTGTTCCGTCGAACAATCTAACATATTTTATTATTATTTTTATATTTACTCGGTAACAATACTCGTATCGTCATTCGTCAATCAGTTTATAATCACTTTTTATATTTAAGTTTTATGGAAATTATGATTTCATGAACAAGTGGTGATGTAGTTAATATAATAATAATTCTGGGGACGGAGTGGCCGAGTGGACTATGGCGTCGGTTGCAATGTGCACCGTCGCCGGTTCGATTCTCGATCACGGGTGGCACTTCTCTCCGGGCAGACGCTTGTCTGGAGAGAGAGGCCGCCATCCTCCAACTGGGCATGGCAGGTACCTTTTTTTTTTTTTTTTTTTTAATTTATAAACAGGAACGGGTGGGAACTGTTTAGCACAATACTGCCACCCATGGCAGGTACCTACGAGTGCCCAAATCAAAAATTCTGCAAAAACAAACACAATCAAAAACAAATCTACAGTACCCTCAAACACAGTACCTAAGTAGTTAAAGCCTTAACCCTAAAAAAAAAAATAATAATAATAATTCTATTATATTGATGTATATATAATATAACATTTTTAGTGTGAAAAAAAATGTAAAAACGCAATTATTTATGCATATTATAATCATTTTTAAATAAACACGATAAGAACCTAATCTTGATGTTTTTTTTTTGGGAGTTAGAGGTCATGATGCTATCTACCGACGACCATCATTAATCAACACTTCGCAGAATTTAACAGCATGTTATGTATCATTATTTTGTTAATAAATTATGAAATATAATAATAGTATAGATATACCTACTGAGTTGGATAGGTACATGTTTCTCTGAATATAATATTATTTCGAATGTCGGGAAAATAATCATGGCATAGATGTAAAGGACCTGTATCAGGGCCCAGGGGTGGCAAATTATTTTGACGCTAAGTTCCAAAATGTACGTTTATTTTTTTCGAGAGTGAAATTAAATTATGAAAAGAAGTAGGTGCTATTTATCAGTCAACAACGATTATACAATTTTATCTGTAGATATGAATATAATATACATTGTGATGTTTTTTTTTATTAAAAATAAAAATTATATAATATAAATATATATATAATAATGCTTACTTCAATAAATTAACACTGAGCATCGATTGTTATTAAATGTTATCTCATTAAGTTTATATTTCTCAGTAGAGTTCATCTATACCTATATATGCTACAGTCTACTATTCTCACATTTTTGGGATTATCTATTCATTGTTATCAATATTTCACTAACAAAAAAACAAAATCTTAATCTATAAAATAAATATACTCTTTTACATGCATATAAATATATAATATAGCCATAATATAATATAGGTAACTATATTATTATTACGTATTCTTATAAACCTTGTAACTAATATAACTACTCAGTTTATTTATATACGTACAAACCTTGTACCTATTGGTTTCTTCATAATAGTACCTATATTATGATAACATTGATAACATAATATATTACAATATTGTATGAGTCTTATATTATATTTTTTTAATAACTATAGGTTCATAATATATAAGATTTCCCTTCTTGAGATAATAACTTATTACTTGGAATATACAAAGTGATCTCCAAACTTGCTCAGTCCCATTTTCTTTAAATAATGGATTTCTCAAATTCTGTTGTTTAGGAAATTCTTAACATATTATAGGTACTAAATTACCATATTTTCATACACTTAATAATATTGTTATGCTATTCAAGGAGTCGCTTGAAGAAATGCAAACTTCTCTTTTTAAAATTTTTTAGTTTATCTTTTTAAGTCAACCGGTAATTAGTTGATATTTTTGAAAAAAATGTAAAATTTAAAACGAAATTTGAATTCGTGGGTTAGGATATATTAACCTTAATGATCTACGAACTACAATAGTTCATGATAATACATTTAGAAAATAGGATACGATGATTTGAAAATAATAATGATTAATATTAATCTATAGGTAATATTAGATATTAAATAGTACATGTATTTATACTTATATTATTTGATATAAAACATAATTTCTTCAGGCTACAGCTTTCAATTTCGATTTAGATTCATCGACGTTTTCAAAAAATCGTAATTTTATCTGTTTACTTTAAAAAGGTGAAGATAATTTGGAAAAGAGAAGTTCGTATCACCACAGGACAATGCTTAAATAGTTTAAAAAAAAATGTATAAGAAGAAACAAGTTTATATATAATATATTATTATATTCTATAAAAATTATTTAATATTAAATATATTTATTTACTTTTTATTAGTAGCTATAAGTATATAATAATTAATTAATAAAAAAATCCACTAAATTATAAGACGTGTTATGTATTATATTATAGGATTATAGGATATTATATGATTATTTAATAAGATTTTCCTTCTTGAGATAACTATTTACTACTTGGAATATACAGCTATACCTACTTGGTACTGGTGGTAAGCGGATATCAGAGTGATCCTGCTCAAGTGAGCTTTTCCAGTTATCCAATTTTTTCCTCGGAGAGTGGTATTATTCAATGACAAAAAAACCACCATAACAACACAGATCGCGCTCACGCCGAACCAGTTTATTATTGTATATTTTTATTACGTTAAGCAGTGGCAAGTGCGATTGTGTAGTGTGCTTTGTGACCGGTCCGAACGATGACTCGGCCGATGCATCAAGATGCCGCCGCCACCGCTGTTTTACGCATGACTATGGAGCTCCTACTTTTGCTGTTGATGTTCTCATCCTTGTTGTCGTTTACATCAGCCACCGCCGAGTGTCCTGACAAATGCACGTGTGAAGAAAATAAAATCAACTGCCTTAACCAAAAACTAGACCGGATACCCGACCACATACCTACGGCTACCAGAGTGCTGTAAGTAGACTATACGGTAGATACTACCAACGTTAAAGTGCAGGGTGTGGAGTTTGAAAATGCACTTCGTAATTTACTTTGCCCGAGCATTGCGAAATCTAATTTATCAATAATTTTTTTTAAAGCCAGTGGCATTTTTTTGGATAATTTTTGGGCATTTACCGGTTTTGTTATTAAACTATATTGTTATATAATTGGTACCTTTTGAAAATTAAATTATATATATTTTAAACTAAATCAAATTAATTACATTTAAAAAAAAAATTACCTCGTTTCCCCCACTACTGAATACTGCTCAAATACGTCATTGTGTTATGATCTTATGGATTTATAATTTGAGTGGCGTATAATCTTTTCGCGATCTCAAAGCGTATTGCATCGTATCGCTCGTACCGCTCGTAAGGCTCCTAGTATATTGTTTCAAAGTCAGATGAAAAAAATTAAAAATCTATAGTCACAATTTTTTTTATAAGCATTTAAAGTTCAAATATTGACAAGACACGTAAAAATGACGAAAATTTGCAAATTATTTCGAGTTAGAAATTCATAAAAATTTTAAACTCTTATTTTATATTGCCTATGATAAATATGGTAAATATCATAAGCTCAAAGCTGTATGCTTGAATTCGTTTTAAAGAAACAATGTATGTTACAGTTTATGTCGGAATGATATAAATTATTTTGTATTTGGTAAGATTATCACTCATAATTTTACAGTGTACCTATTTTCTGAACTATAACATAGAGATATAGGTAATATAGGAATAAAAATCCCCTGAAAAAAGTCCCCTACCCTAGAAAAATAACCCCCAGACGGCCAGATTAAAATATTACTGACAACCACATGGAATTTTTAAAACGTAATTAGTGTAATTATTACATTATTAATTCTTAATTACAAATATATTATTATACTTATATAATATAGGTATACCGTATACCGTATGCGAATACTTTTCATTAAAAAAATTAATATAAGACCTATAATAAATAATATTCAAAAATTAACAATAATATTATTTTGTTTTATTTGTTTTATGTGAAACAACATAATATGTTAATAGTTCTTTTAAAAGATTACTGATAACATAGATACATTCATTAACAATTTGTTTAATAATAATTTATTTTATTTGATGTATGGATCATTCGAAATATTTTTATTTTATAATCTTTTAAATATTTTATCTATCTATAATATAGATTCTATAATATTAAGTAAGACTTGTAAAGTCTACTTCTAATAATAATTATTATTATTTATATATCGTTAAAATATTATTAAGAAACGGGATATTTTATTTCAGGGATATATCTATATATATAAAAATGGAGCCAAAAATGTATAACAATTCATCAATTGAAAACGGCTGGTCCGATTTGTCTTAAATTTTTTCTAAGATGTTCGTAATTGCCAGGAGAAGGTTTTTACGAAAGAAAATTTTTAAAAAGTCAACCGAATAATTGGAAAAACTGCAAAAACTATTTATTGATGTCTGGGATTTGAACTCGATACCGTTGTCTTTATTTACTCTATGGTAGACGTAGACATCTATGGCAATTAATACTGATGTATTATTTATTATTATTTTTGGCTCCATTTATATATATATAGATATAATTCTACTCTACGTGTGTTGTGACTGAACTCCACCTAAACGGTTGGACCGATTTGAATGAAATTTTTCGTATGCGTTTGGGTGACGCCTCGGATAATTTAGATTCACAAATCATCCCCCTAGGTGCAACCAGGGGATGTGCTGAAATGGGGATTTAGAGATTTAAGGTGGACATTTTTGTTTATAAATGGTCGTCATGGGTTTTAAAGCTATCATAATATTAATTATCGGTTGCCGTGAAATCAGTGTATTCATTTAATGCATTTAATTTTTTTGTACGCTGTGTTTGGATATTATATGTATCGCAAATTACATAATTGAGCGTATTTTACTCACATATAAGTTACGTACATAAAATAATGCCACATCTTCGTGGACGAGGAGGAAAAATTGGTCGACTGACTCGGCATTCACAATTTATTAGTCCAGCCGCTTAGGAGGAGTTCAGTGACATACTTGGTATAACTTTGATACTTTAGAGTTAAATTAAAAAGTAACGTACAAACAACATGGGGTCCGCGATCTACCGCAGCTAGATTGCCTACCTGATAATATACTGCTGCGAATCAGAATTTTTATCCCAGGCAACAGAAGAGTTAAAATAAATTTTGAACACCATACACCGAATATTAAATAAAGAATTGAACAAAGTTTGAGTCCTATAGAGTTGGTACATTAACGGGAAACGAAGTGCACGGGATCAGCTAGTTATAATATATAATATAAAGGTATTATAAGCAAAATATATTATTGTTAATGTTTGAAAATTATAATATAAATATTAAAATACAAGGTATAATTAAATACTTGAGTAAATAAATTATTGATTTCGTTTGTATGATTTTTAATATTTTTAAGCGAACATAAATGGGGGTGTGGGATTACTTTTCATGTAATGTCAGGTGGGGGCCACTGCTCGTATCGCAAGGTTGTTTCGCTGGCGCTCCCCCACTCGTTTATATAGAGTAATTACTGGGTCCTGCAGTTTAAACTTTTAAAAACGTATCAACGCTACACGCGTATTATGTTCTAAGAAATATTTAAAACATTAAATACTAAAATCGACGAAACTGCGAAATAAATAATAAAATATCTCGTAATACCAGAGGATAAACGACAAGAATAGGTTTATAAACTCTATAACGTGTATTTGTTGGTATAAAATTATTGGTATAGGTAACAAATAACTGTTAATAACTCGCAAAATATTGGAAATGTTTGAAATAGGTAATAAGGAAACTTATAAATCCCGCTTATGACATGTATTATATAACAATATAAAAAGTATGACATACTTTATTATGATCTAACATTTAAATAGCGAAATTCCGATACCTATATCTCCAGGTATTTAGTAATGTAGCATACTCGTAATATTATTTTCTATTTGAGTATGCAATGATTTTTGTACAATTGACATTGTATGCAAACATTTTTAAATTCTAAGCCAAGTATATTAAATATTTATGTCTAAAAAGATCACTTGAGATTATGCTTGGACTGAATATTGGAAAAAAAATTGTAGAGAGTAATTTTTTGTTACTTCACTTTCATAATATAAAACTGGAGCGTTTTTGTTAACACGGCAATAGCACACCAGGTTCCTAAAAATGTTGATCAAAGATTTGTACTTTTTAATACAAGGTTCTAGGGAAGTCGTTCTTTTAAAAATATCATAAATATATAAATAGGCTAGTATGTTTGTTTCCGGCTTGTAAAAATACAAGATAGTAGCAAATTCATAACAAATTGATGTTAGATTTGAGGGTGTAGTACTATAAGTGATGTACATCAATTTCACCCCTCGCTCAGACGATTACTGTTTTATCATGACATTTTTGAAACGTTGTTTTTAAAACGTAATATATTTCATAATAAATAATTATATTAAATTGTAATTTCGTTGTAAAGTCAGTGGTCCGACTAACGTTAATAGTATCGTTTGAAAAAATTCGTTTGTGACAATCCGTGTAGTCACATATACACCGAATCTGCGTACGCTTTAACTTATTAACTTTTAAGTCCCAAAATGAACATGATAGGATTAGGGAAACATTTTAAATTTTTTAATGATAACAAGAGCCATATCGCGTGCAGGTTTCGATATTAATGAAAACAATAAATATATTGGTATTGCACATGATCGATATCCTAAGTACATAACAAATTGAAAAACAAGTAAAATAATTTACATAACATGAGGGCCAATAATACTATGAAATAATCACATAATGTATATTATGATAATAATTAAACAAATTATAATGTATTCCAGGATCCTGAGCCATAATCAAATCAGGGATATCGAACCGAAATCATTAACTCATCTGACAGAGTTAACGGTCTTGTGAGTTATAAATTATAATATTAATAATATAAACACTTTTAAATGCATAGACATTAATAATAAATTATAATCCAGAATGTAAACATATTTTCAGAGATTTGAGCTACAATAAAATAAGTGATGTGAAAATTGGTGCATTTGCAAACCTTTCGAACCTCCGGAAATTGTAAGATTATAAAAACAAATAGCTAGTGATTATATATTAATTTGTATAATATTATTACCTATATATTATTTATATAATAAATTATTTAATTATTAGATATTTGGATTTAAATAAAATCGAAAACATCGAGACTGGGGTTTTTAATAACTTAACACTTTTGGAAGACTTATACTTGGCGCACAACAGAATTCATAAGCTTGATTCGGAAATGTTTAAAGGACTTACAAAACTGAATAGACTGTAAGTATTAAACTGTTGCCTCGACACATTGTTGTTATTATTATGTGATATGCAGAACAACACGGCGGCGGCGGCTACCCGTCGGCCGTCCTTATTTCACTCCCTCTACCTCGTCATCTAATTGTTACTAGTTAGGTATGTGAATTATAATCACCTATATAAATTAATTGATTATTATTGTTATCGTTGTCGTCATATTGTCTTTTTTTTTTTTTTTTATAAATTTTTATTGTTATGAAATTTATTATGTTAGTCTATCTTTTTATTTTTGTTAATTTGGAATAAGGTTTATTTGTATGTAATTTTGATTATTATTATATAGGTAATGTAACTCTCTACCACGATCACAAGCATTACGCTTAAAGGAGGTAGATACTTATTGTAAACATTTAAATAATATGTAAATCATCTTATTTATATTTAACCCTAATAATAATCAAAATTACATACAAATAAACCTTATTCCAAATTAACAAAAATAAAAAGATAGACTAACATAATAAATTTCATAAGTAACATTCAAAATAATTCAAAACTTATTCCATATTTTAACTATTATAATATTGAAAAATTATTTATCCATTTTTTTTTTTTAACTATAAGTGAAAATAACCAGTAACCACGAATTAAGTTGTTTTTTAATGCACGTAATACTAAGATTTCCAATTGAGTATTAAATGAGCATTTTTATATGTAAAGGCATTGAATTATAATAATGGGACCTAAATAATCGACGAATTTTCGACCAAAAGATTTTTTACAATAAAATACTTTGACATCAAAAGCCATCAATTCCCTTTTTGTTCTTATCTTTTCCACAAAAAAAATTTTCATAATTTTTTATTATACATATATATTTAATAGATACCTTTTATATACACTCTCGAATGGTAACACATTCAACAGCTTAAAATTTTCACCAGTTGAACCTACTAAATTATTTCTACCTAAACAGATTCTGACAATTTTTCTTTGAAATAAAATTAATGGTCTAACCGAGTTTTTGTTCAAACCTCTCCATACCAACAAACCATACTGAAATATTGAATAATGATAAATAAATTATACGCATAACTTTCACAGGCAGGAAATGCCTTAATTTAAAAAAACTAAACGATAATGTACGCATGCGCATTACAATATTCTTGACATGCAAATGCCATCTCATATTTTTATCAAAAATTAAGCCCAAATATCTTATACTAGATACCATGTATATTTCATGACACATGCTGTCATTACAATTACCTATAATCCCATAAAAACAAAGTTTTAAATCATGATTGTTCTCATCTATGTTGATTGAAAAATTTATAAAATTAGTTTTTTTATAATTTATTGTGGGTTTTATTTATTTATTTATTTATTTATTTATTCATATTGAATACTTGACGAGCCCAATTACATTGATTTTGTTGACAATAATTAACAAGAAAAAAAACACATATTTAAGAAAGAAAGACAATAAGTAGACTAAATGTTAAGGAATTGTGGGTCCTCATTGGCCAGTTTCATCATATGAACTATAGGGCGATTAGTTAAATAATTACAGCGGCTAAAAGAAATATGAAAGGGGAAAGAGGATCTGGAACAATAAGCAGGAACTCTGATATTAACTTTGGATAGGAGTAGAGGGGCGTCAACTTCACCATTAATAAGTTTAGAAAGGAACGTAAGGTTGCCCTGTTTTCTCCTACACATAGGGTAGACAGACGGAGACGGTGCAACACTGGTTCATACTCATGAGGTGGGCAAATTTTAAAATTGTACGCTGAACTCTTTCAAGTTGGCAACTACCATTAATGGTGCATGGTTCCCAGATAATTATACCATACTCCAACACAGACCGAACGAAAGAGCAGTACAAGGTCTTAAGAGAACTAGACAATTTAAACTCACAAGAAATCCTTTTAACTAATCCGAGAAGCTTCAGCTCCCTACATGTAACTTTCTCAATATGAGCCTGAAAAGTAAGAGACCGATCAAAAGAGATACCAAGGTCTATAATACTATCACTGGAGCGCTTAAGAGCAATATCGTTGATAGAGTATTTATACAAGATCGACATTCTCATTGGAACGAGTGAAGGTCATGGAATGACTTTTAGGGATACTAAGCTCCAAGCCAAGTCCCTGGCCCCATTGAGCAATAGCATTTATATCAAATTGCAACAGCTTACAATCATCAGTGCTGGTAATACGGAGAAAAATCAATTTTGACAATTTTGTGAGCTATTATGTGAAGTATTTTCTAGTAATGTTGTCGCATTATTTTAATATAATATAGTAGGTAATCAATTAAATATAATATATGTATCATATTGTCCAAAATTAACGTGGAAATTAATAAAAGAGTTCACATTGTCTAAAAATATAAAAGGTGATGCAATTAAAATATTAATCCATAATAATGAACACATAATTCCTTCAGAGGATCGGGAGATAGTTTCAAATATGTTTAACGATTTTTTTATTAATATTGGTAGTAACCTTGCGGCTTGCAAGTAAAATAAAAAAATCCAATTTTATTTATGTTGAATCGAGCACAAATGCCTCATTTGACATGATTTTTAAAGAGAAAATTAACATGCATAAAATTATAAAAATAATAAATAATTTAAATGATGATAGTGCTGCAGGTTTTGATGGAGTATCTGTGAAAAAATTAAAGGCTATTGCTACAAATATTATTGAACCTAAAATATAGATTAGTAGAGATGTGTGAAAGGTCTTCGAGTCTATTCGCAGTCGTTCGTCATTTGTTACAGCCATCATCCACATTTTCACAATAGTAGATTTCAGTATAGATTTTAAGTATTCGGCTGATTTATGTGAGCTTGGTGGTCATTGCACCAAACCGATTCCTACCACCAAGACATCCCCCCTTTATAACTAAACTCATCTTCCTTATTCCCGTGCATAAATTCAACTTCCTTGGTGCCGTAATTTTAAGTCTCTTTTGGTCCCATCCTATCGTCGTCGTCGTAGTCGTATATCTTAGACAGTGGCCATTAAGTTGTTTATGTCAACCATACCAGGCGTCTTAGGATAGCATCATCTTAACATATCTTATATTTTACATATTTTATAATTTCATCGTAACAAGCCCAAAGGGCAACAAAACCCATTTTTCATGTGTTCGTCTTGTATATCCGAATGAAAATGACATTTTATATTTTATAAATAGGTTTTTATACAAAAATATGATAAGAAAAATTCCACCTGGGATATTCGATTCATCAACGTCGTTGACTACTTTGTAAGTCATCATGAACTGCGTAAAATATAATATCTATATTATACATATTATAATAATTGTTATACTTTCATTATTTGAATTATACAGTATGTCCCAAAAGTCCCGTATCACCCTTAATATCTCCATGTAAAATCACTATATTTAAACGCGGTTTTTTTTACAGTACTAAGTATGAAAATTCTGATTGAATGGCATAAAATTCATTTACTTTTTTCTTTAAATTCAAAAATTTTCAAAAAAATTTTTTACGCATTTAAGAATTTAAAATTTTTAAGATAGCCATTTTGTTGAGCATATTTTTTAAAACAGTTCAAAAAAAAAAATACTAAAATTAAATAAAAATTGACCAAGTTAGAGCAAGTTATGTTTTTGAATAATTGTAGTAAAAAAATAAATTATTGTTTCACATTTCAATAATAAAATATCTAATTTCAGCACACGACCATACTTTTACATTCCTAATTAATTTTTTTACTACAATTATTCAAAAACATAACTTGCTCTAACTTGGTCAATTTTTATTTAATTTTAGTATTTTTTTTTTTGAACTGTTTTAAAAAATATGCTCAACAAAATGGCTATCTTAAAAATTTTAAATTCTTAAATGCGTAAAAAATTTTTTTGAAAATTTTTGAATTTAAAGAAAAAAATAAATGAATTTTATGCCATTCAATCAGAATTTTCATACTTAGTACTGTAAAAAAAACCGCGTTTAAATATAGTGATTTTACATGGAGATATTAAGGGTGATACGGGACTTTTGGGACATACTGTATATTTGTCTGAACACAACATTAATGCTTTTTACTATAGAGCGCTTGACGAAAACCCGTTTACGTGCGATTGCGATATTCTGTGGTTTGTAAACTTGTTTAAGAAAAGTTACAGCAACCACAATGTATTTGGTTACGAGGTGCCGACGTGTCATTTTCCAGTAGAAATGAGTGGAAAATTGTTGATAGAAATTACCGAAAACGATGTTCATTGCGGTGAGAAATCATTCTAATTGAATAAAGAGACATAAAATATATAACATAATACTTTATGCTATAATCTACATAATATATTGTCTGGAATAGTGCTGTACCTATTTATTGTCGTAAATAAGCGGTTATAAGTGCATTTCGCCTTAATGGATTATTACTCTTTGACCGATGTTGTCGGGAACGATTGTTTTGTTAAATAATGTGGTGATTTTGACGTATGTATTATATTATATATTGTTGTACATACAGCGTCTCCGGATGTCATCGAGGTACCAGAGAACAAGACGGTGTCGGTCGGTGAACAGTTACAACTCTCGTGCAAAGCCGTAGGAGACCCGGAACCTTCTATAACGTGGGCCAAAGACGACATCGATCTAGAACCTGGCCAAAGAGTTCAAGTAAGATTATTTTAAGATAGGTATACGGTAATTGATCATTCAGGCAAACCCGGTTTATTATATTATAATCGTGCACTCTTGTTAAAAAATGTCTATTAATTATTTACTTAATATTCATGGATTGGTTTTTTTTACTTATTCGGGCCGGTAAAAACCTTTGCCCCCCGCCTCTATTGAAAACAATACACAAATAATAGGCACATTTTTTTTTTATTCGAAGTTAAAATGTTGACATTGTTTCAAGTCAATTAAGTAGTTAAATAAAGTGAAAAATGCAGTATAAACAATGTTTAACATTGAATTTGAATTTTACATACGCATATCCACTATCCATATTGCAATAAAATGTAATATATTATGAACACTCGTTGTCTATTAACAATATATTTACAGCAGAGCTACTCCTCTTTTATTTTTTTTAGACGTAGCTGTCTACCTATTGTCAGTACTTAGTTGACTTTTATCATTTATTTTACTTTATACAATTTACTTTAATATATTATTTCAAATTACTGTACTGTCCATTAAAATTTTAATCCATAGTATACTGCTTACTGCAGGTATTTCAAAACAATACATTGATTATATCTAAAGTGGAAAGAACGGATGGCGGTCAATATAAGTGCGTGGCGTCCAATTCTCTTGGACGAAAATCTTTCGAGGCGATGGTTAACGTAAACGGTAATATCATGTATATTACTATAATACTATACTCGTATAGTCGTATACCATTATTATATTATCATACGAGTTCTAAAACATAAAAAATGAACATCGTCTGTGAAATACTTTTTTTTCGAAATCAGGCAACAAAAAAAGTTATTTAAGTTTGAAAAACACAAAAATAATGGATTTTGAAACAATATCAACGTTTTTCGTATAAGTGATACCAAAAAATTAAAAACAGTATTTCGCAGATAATGTTTTGAACTAGGTATATTGTATATCTATATCAATTTAGAATCTTCACTATCACTACAATTTGTTATCATTTTGATTTTACACGTAATACAACACAATAACTATCATTTTAATTTTATACGTAATACAACAAAATAACTAACCGATACACAAGACACACATAGACGTTAAATGAATAAAAAAATACAAATATAACTTTTTACCCACTTGATATACATTTTTTTTTAAAATAATTATAATATGTATAATTTAATTTAGGTTTGGCGGAAAATGGTTCTAATACCATGTTTGGAGTAATACCATTTTTTATTATTATTATTATATTTGCGAATTGCGTATTGTATAATGACATATTGTGAAAAATGTATTATTATTATATTTGTGACTTGTGTATTGTATACAATCTATTATTAGTATATTAGTGACTTGCGTATTGTGTATATGCCAATATTTTAAAATATAAAATAAAGTAACCAGAACTGGTAGAACTAAAATATAGATTATAGTTTATTATTTTACTGTAAAATTGACTGTTTTTATTTTATACAATAATTTCTAGTGAAATATGATAATTTTATAGACACTGTACAATCATCACTCTTTCCAAACCTAACATAACTGCGACTTTCGCTTCATTAAATTACCTTAAATGTATTATACTTTATTAAATGTAATCTGTTAAATTGTAATTATTACTAGTTTTAGTGTATTTGTGTGTTTTATTACTGTTGTTAATTATTACTTATTACTGTGCATGCACCTTGTGTACGATTATTGTTATTATTTAATTAGAAATATGCCGACTAATGTGTACAAAAAAACCATGTGTGTTACCAGTACGCGCGCGGGAAGTTAAACTTCTTTTGAATGGTACACGTGAGTGAGTGAAAAAGAAAGAAAAAAATATTAATTAATTTAAAAAATGAGAAGAAGTATCCGGAATTATTTATTATTGATAGTTTTATTATTTTTTTTATATTTTTATTCGACAGATCGATGGATAATTGTTTATAGTATTGTTTTTATCCAGACAAAAATCTGTATGCCAAATTTCAGCCAGATCCGTCCAATGGTTTGAGCTGTGCGTTGATAGCAGTCAATCAGCTTACTGTTTTATGTATACAGATATATATATATATATATGTATTATAATATATAATAAAACAACATTACCATGACAATATTTATTTATTTACGGACATGTACGCTTTCGCGTTCGTACGGCCGCCCGTTCGTACGCGCCGCCCGTTCGCTTTTTTTTTCCTCACTACCGTGCGTAAAGAAGTATAACTTCAAAAATAATGAAAAATAAAGAAAAGTACTTATTGAGTAAAAAAAAGGAACTTAGCGATAAAATAAATTCCCCAGAAAAACTGTTGTCTTGATAATTTTCTTAGAAATATTTGATATCACATAAAAAGTCTTTAAACATGCTTTTCAGTGCACTTAAAGATGTGATATCATAAATAAATGCTAAGTAAATCGAATTAAAGTATACTTATTTTAACTCGATAATTTAATATTTACTTGGCGAGAATTTACTTGGCCATTAAGACTCGTTAATTTACTTATATGGTATTACATTATTCATAATATTTTTTATTATTTTTTTTTCATTAATGTGTGCATGAAATAAATTTCAAAAGTAATATTTAAAAAAATTAAGTTTGTATTAATTAATTTATACTAAAACACAAATAATTAACACAATTTATTAATGTTACTTAAAAAGGTATTTTAAAAATATGCCACGCCAACTATCAATGTGGTTTGAAGTATATTTGTCGACTTGAATAAAATAAAACAATATGCTTTACGTAATAAGTTTTTTTGCGAAGTAATTTTAAAGCTAAGAAAGTATAAACGCACCATGCACAAATAATTGAAAAAGAAATTGACAAAGAAACATTAACTTAATTTTTTTTAAAGAAACAAAGTTTCTGTTGCCACGGTTTTTTAACTACGTAATGAAAAAACGAATATTGATCCTTTTATTTTTGTACATAGCCAGTATATTATATTATTGTACATCTTAAATATTATATTTAACATAGAAGCTAAATTATTACGAGTTTTGATTTACGGAACAGTATGGATAATTTATTATCTTTTATGAAATTGTTTTAAATACTTTTAATATTTTCTGTAACATTCAAGTCTCACTAATAATGAGTAATGGTTGTATAATGTATATCATAAATTTATGATTGACCAAACTACCAGAGTGATACTGGACCAGATAAAGACCTTATAAGAATAAAATGGATAACCCGAGTACTAATATAGTAAATAATTGATTTTTTTTGTATTTGTAAGAAATGATAGTACCTACCTACTAATTACTATAGTAGTAAATGAACTTTGGCTTGGTATAATAATGATAATAAAATAATATGTTATAGGTAATTTATAAATGTTTGATATTTAATTCCGTATATAAATCCGCAACATGATAACTATGTGGATTTTTTAATAGAAATCTCAACAATGAGAACTGGGGTGTCGGCAAATTGAAAGTCAGCAAACTGGAATGGCGGCGAATTGGGATTCGGCAAATTGGGTTTCGGCGACGTGGGAAGACACGTTATGGGTTATATATCCTTCTTGAGATAACTACCTACTACTTGGAATATACAAAGTGATCTCCAAGCTTGCTCAGTCCAATTTGCATGCTAATAGATAACATTGTTCATTGGTTTAAAGAGATATTTCGTAGATAATATTATTGTTAATAATAATTGTACTTAAACGAGTTTAATATTACTATATTATATTATACGTAATGAGAAAAACATGGGTCCAAAATAATAGGATTTTGATGCAATTAGTTGTTGTTTGTCTTTGACCTTTTTTCATATATCATGATATTTTCCCCTTTATTTAATGCAGTTATATACCTATATAATTCACACACTTGTTCGTATTTTATACATAATAATACTTACTTCAATAAATTAACACTGACCATCGGTTGTTATCTCATTAAATTTATGTTTCTCAGTAGAGTTCATCTATACCTATAGGCTACAGTCTACTATTCTCACCTTTTTGGGATTATCTATTCAATATTATCAATATTTCACAAACAAAATCTTAATCTAAAAAATAAAAATACTCTATTACATGCATATAATATAGCCATAACAATATAATATAACTATATTATTATTACGTATTCTTATTTCTTATAAACCTTGTAACTAATATAACTACTCTGTTTATTTATACGTACAACCTTGTACCTACTGGTTTCTTCATAATAGTACCTACATTATGATAACATTGATAACACAATATATTATAATATTGTATGAATTGTATATTATATTTTTTTTAATAACTACAGGTGCATAATAAAAAAGCCGGCCAAGTGCGAGTCGGACTCGCGCACGAAGGGTTCCGTACCATTATCTAATGTCTGTTGTCATTTTCGGGGTGGGAAAAAAATTCAGGCCAGGTTAATAAATTTTCTCCAGGCCATTCAATATTTTCATCTCTTATTTATTTATGTAATGTATTTTGTATTTAAATGTATATAGGTAAATAACAAATATAAGAAATACCTTCTCAATGTATAGGTACATACATGGTCATTATAGTGGACTGTATAATTTTGTAACTTAAAACGATTCACTATAATTCTGTATTGAAATTTATAAAACGAATCTTTGTATACGACGTCATTTATGGCAACCATTTATTATCAATACGACGTCACTCGTGGTAACTATTTATAAACAAAAATTTCCATCTGAAATCTCAAAATTCCCGTTTTAGCACCCCCGGGGTTGCTCCTATCCATTTTTTTAGTATTTGTTGTTATAGCATCCACGGAAATACATAATCTGTGAAAATTTCAACTTTCTAACTTTCATGGTTCATGAGATACAGCCTGGCAACAGACGGACAGACAGCCGAGCGAAAGTAATAGGCTTCCGTAGGGAAACGTACGAAACCCTAATAAATGAATAAATAATCCACTAAATTATAATAGGTATTGTGTATTATAATATAATACACAATACCTAGCTAGTATATTATATTATAATATACTAGCTGATCCCGTGCACTTCGTTACCCATCAATAATGCCGATTCTATATAAACAATATGTTTTTTTTCTAATATAAAGGTTACCATACCAACAATTTTAAACCAATCCTCTCCCATTTTATATTAGCCTATCTTCTGCCCAGAAGTCTAACCTATCTCTGTACCAAATGATCCCGTGCATTTCGTTGCCCGGCATCCAATAATTATTATTATAATAGCTTAAAAACCCATTGCAACCATTTATAAACCAAAATGTCCATAGGAAATCTCAAAATACCTGTTTGAGCACCACCCGGGGTTGATCTTTTTAAATTAGTATATCTTCTACACAGAGGTCTAATCTATCTATATATATAAAAATATCCGATCCCGTACACTTCATTGCCCGTTAAAATTGGCAACTCTATATGAATAATATGTTTTACATATCACCATGGCAACCATTTATATACAAAACATTCCATCGGAAATTTCAAAATAATATATAATTGGTTGTCATGGTAGTATGGAGACACACACAGACGGAAATCTCGAAATAATAATATGTTATTGGTTGCCATGGTAATATGGACACACACACGCACACATACATTCATTTTTATATATATAAAATAAGATTTTCCTTCTTGAGATAATAACTTATTACTTGGAATATATTATAAAGTGATCTCCAAACTTGCTCAGTCCCATTTTCTTTAAATAATGGATTTTTCAATCCATCCAATTCCATATTTTCATATAATTTATAATATTGTTAAGCTATTCAAGGAGATGCTTGAAGAAATGCGAACTTCTGTTTTTAAAATGATAACTATTTTTTTATCTTGTTTAGTCAACCGTTAATCAGTTGATATTTTTGAAAATAATGTTATATTTAAAACGAAACTTGAATTTGTGGTTTTGGATTTATTAACCTTTATGATCTACAAACAATAATAGTTCATGATAATAGGCTTAGAAATTAGATGGGGATACGATTATTTGAAAATAATGCTGATTAATATTTATATATAGGTAATATTTTATATTAAATAGTACATGTATTTATATTTTATACTTATATTATTCGATATAAAACATAAATTCTACAGGCTACAGCTTTCAATTTCGTTTTAGATTTTCAAAAAATCATAATTTTATCTGTTACTTTAAAAAAACGTGAAGCTAATTTGAAAAAGAGAAGTTCGTATCACCACAGGACAATGCTTAAATAGTTTAAAAAAAAATGTATAAGAAGAAACAAGTTTATATATAATATACTATTATATTCTATAAAAATTATTTAATATTAAATATATTTATTTACTTTTTATTAACATCTATAAGTACATAATAATTTATTAATAAAAAATCTACTTAATTATAAGACGAATTATGTATTATATTAAACATAAGATCTTCCTTCTTGAGATAACTACTTACTACTTGGCATATACAGCTATACCTACTTTTTGGTACTGGTGGTGAGCGGATATCAGAGTGATCGCGCTCAAGTGAGTTTTTCCAGTTATCCAATTTTTTCCTCGGAGAGTATTCAATGACAAAAAACATCCACGATAACAACACAGATCGCGCTCTAGCCGAATCCATTCGTTATTGTATATTTTTATTACGTTTCGCAGCGGCAAGTGCGATTGTGTAGTGTGCTCTACGACCAGTCCGAGCGATGACTCGGCCGATGCATGAAGACGCCGCCGCCTCTTTTTTACTGAAGACTATGGAGCTGCTACTTTTGCTGTTGATGTTCTCATCAGTCGCAGCCGAGTGCCCGTACAAATGCAGGTGCTACAAAGAAACGTCGAAACGGGTTGACTGCGGTTACGGGGAACTATACCGGATACCCGACCTCATATCTATGGATACCACAGTGCTGTAAGTCGACTATGTGGAAGATAATACCAAAGTTAAAATGCCGGATGTTGCGTTTGAAAATGTTAGCAATTTACTTTACCCGAGTGTTGCGAAATTTAATTTGTCAGTAGTTTTGTTAAGCGGCATGTTTGTGGATGCAAGGTGTGCATATTCCCGTTTTGTTATTAAACACCATTTAAATTGTATTTTAATGTGAACTATACTGTTCTATAATTGGTACCTATTAAAAACCCTATTAAAACCCTATTAAAAATTAAATTATATACATTTTAATATAAATCAAATTAATTACATTTAAAAAATAATTTACCCCGTTTCCCCCACTACTGAATACTGCTCAAATAAGTTTACTGTATTACGATCTTATGGATATTATAATTCAAGTTTGCGGATACGTCTTTTCAAGATCTCATAATCATATTGCATCGTATTTCTCGTATCGCATTTTGTTTCACTGGCGCACCCCCACACATTTATATGGAGTAATAACTAATGACCATCGACCTGGGCCCTGCAGTTGAAAGACGTATAAAATATAAAAGTATAGGTATCAAAAAACTGTTAATAACTAGCAAAATTTTGGATATGTTTGAAATAGGTAATAAGGAAACTTATAAATCCCGCTTATAACATGTATTATAAAACAATTTAAAAAGTATGACATACTTTACTATGATCTAACATCTAAATAGAGAAATTCCGATACCTATATCCAGGTATTTAGTCAATGAAGCAAATTCATAATATTTTTTTCTATTTGAGTATGCGACGATTGTTTTATAGTTGACCTTTTATGCAAACATTTTTAAATTCAAAGCCAAGCATATTTTTGAGTGAAAGGATCATTTGAGATTATGCTTATAATAAATATTGGAAAAAAATTGTAACGAGTAATTTTTGGTTACCTCACTTTCATAATATAAAACTGGATCGTTTTTGTTTAGACGAAAACGGCGCATCAGGTTTCCTAAAAATGTTGGTCAATGATTTTTACTTTTTAATACAATGTTCTTTTGAAGTCGTTCTTATAGCGATTTAAAAATATCGTAAATACATAAATAGGCACTGGTGTGTTTGTTTCCGGCTTGTAACAAAACAAGCTAGTAGCAAATTCGTAACAAATTATTGATGTATGATTATTTGAGGTTGTAGTACTAAGTGATGGACCAATTTGACCCCTTGCTCAGACGATCGCTGTTTTCACTCGAAATTAAACGCGTGTTTTTAAAACTTAAAATATTTCATGATCAATAATTATATTAAATTGTAATTTCGTTGTAAAGTCAGTGGTCCGCTTAACATTAATATTATGGTGTGAAAAAATTAATTTGTGACAATCCGTGTAGTCACATTGCCCAGTGCATATACACCGAATTCTGGGTACGTCTTAACTTATTATCTTTTAAGTCCCAAAAATGAACATGATAGGATTAGGGAAAAATTAAAATTTCGTTTATGATAACAAAAGCCATAACGCGAGCATGCTTCTATATTAATGAAAACATTAATTATATCAGTATTACACATGATCGATATCCGTAGGTAAAAAAAAAAAATAGAAAAACAAGTAAAATAATTTCGATAACACAAGGGAAAATAATATTATAAAATAATCATATATTTTGTATGATAATAATTAAAGAAATTGTATTGTATTCCAGGGACTTAAGATTTAATAAAATCAGGGATATCGAACCGAAATCATTAACTTATCTGACAGAGTTAAATACCTTGTGAGTTATAATATATCTAATATAAACATTTTTAAATGCATATAGACATTATTAATTATAATCCAGAATGTAAACATATTTTCAGAGATTTGAGCAACAATATAATAAGTGATCTGAAGAATGGTGCATTTGCAAACCTTTCGAAGCTTCGGACATTGTAAGAATATAAATTAACAAATAGATTGTGATTATATATTTATTTATATAATATTATTCCCTATATATTATATAAAAATGATTTATTTACTAGATACTTGGATGATAATAATATCGAAAACATTGAGACTAAGGTTTTTAATAACTTAACGCTCTTGGAAGAATTATATTTGCGCTCCAACAGTATTCATACGCTCGATTCGAAAATGTTTAAAGGACTTACAAAACTGAAAGCACTGTAAGTATTAAACACATTTTTCATGTGATCGTATTATAAAGCTAAGTGAAAATGACATTTTATATTTTATAAATAGGTCTTTGAACTACAATATGATAAGTAATATTCCACCTGGGATATTCGATTCATTAACGTCGTTGCGTAAATTGTAAGTCAATATAATACCTATATATTATTAATATTATAATAATTGTTATACTTTCATTATTTGAATTATATATTTGTCTAAACAAAACATTAATGCTTTCTACTATAGATGGATTAACTATAACCAGATAAAGTGCGATTGCTATACTCTAATGTTTGTAAACATGCTGAAGAAAAGTCAACCCCCTCGAGATGTACTCAAAGGTACCACCCTGTTGTGTTCTTATCCCGGAGAAAGGGGTTTGAAATCGTTAGTGGAATTGACCGAAAACGATTTGCGTTGCAGTGAGTAATCATAATAATTTAATAAAAAGACATAAAATATACAACATAATATTATATGCTATATTCTTCATAATATGAAATTGTCTGCAACAGTGATGTACCTATTTATTATTGTACAGCCGGCTATAAGTGCGTTTGGCCGTAATGAATTATTATTGTCTGGCTGATGTTTTCGGAAACGAGTTGTTTTGTTTAATAATGTAGTGATTTTGATATAATATGTATTATATATATTGTTGTACATACAGCGTCTCCGGATGTAATCGAGGTACCAGAGAACAAGACGGTGTTGGTCGGTGACCAGTTACAACTATCGTGCAAAGCTGTAGGAAACCCGGAACCTTTTATAACGTGGGCCAAAGACGACATCGATCTAGAACCTGGCCAAAGATTTCAGGTAAGATTATTTTTAGATATACGGTAATTGATCTTTTCGACAAAATCGATTTTGGTTTTTGGTGTAACTTTAAAAGACATGTCCTATAGATACATGACATTTTGACTGAATGTTTATACTAGCATTTTCTTTACACCATAACATTTTAAAAATATTTTGACTTATTTTGAGCCGTTTACGGACATTTTCAGTTTCCAATTTTATAGTTTTTTATTCTATAAATATCAATTACATTTTAATTATATTTTGAGTTGAGAATTCATAAAAATTTTCTTTTTAAATCTAAGATTTGAAAATGTAATACAAGATTATTCATGAATTTGTCTACCTTTATCAAAAAAAAAAAAAATGTCTACAAACAAATCAAATTAAATTTTTATGAGCGTTTGAAGTTCATGTTTTTACAATATTGGATATTCACTCGATTTATCATGTAGGTAGTAGTTTTGTTATTTTATTGTTATTCAAAAACGAACGTATTAAAGTTTTTAATTATTATGTACCTAGTATATATGTATATTCAATGTAAAAAAATGTGATTATACAGATTATTTAAATAAAAAAATTATTACAAAAAAATATAATAAAACATGTGTTGCAACTTTATAAAAGATAATTTATTATTTTACTTTGACTTAAAATTTGAGATTTGCTATTATCAATTGTATTTTCTATTACATTTAAAACAGAGTACACTTTATCGTCCACATTACTCAATTGTTCGGTGAATGTCCTTAGCAATATGAGGGCTGCTGTTGCTTGCTTCATTGAAATAATGATGATTAGATAAAATTATCAGAACGGACAAGCTGATTAGACAAATGTTTATAAAATTATCTGTCATTATCCGTCATATTCGGAGCACAGAATGTTCGAGTTATCTATAGTTTTTTTTTCGAGTAATCGAGGTTTTCGCAAGGGAACGGAATTTTTTTCGACTTATCAAGGTTTTCGACTTATCGAGGTTCCACTGTAATTGTATAACATGAAAATTTTACGAAATGTTTATAATTTCATTTTATATCTAAACTATACTGCCGTCATAAGCCACTAAGCAGTAACTCCAAAAATCGTTATGTTCAGGAGACAATAAAACAGTTTTCAACACTAAATTAGTCCGTATAGAGTAAAAATAATAATATTTTAAACATTAAAGAGATTTCATATTATTGTATTTTTCATGAGGAATCTACTGAACACAAAAAAAAGGTTTTTTTATACATTTTTATGGGTTATAATGGACTTATTGCTTATTGGCTTATATTAGTCAGAAGATGAAAAGCAGTAAGTACACTTTTATTTGGAGTTACTGCCTAATGGCTTCTGATATCATTGGCATGTGTTTGTAAAGTGATGTTTATGTGTTCTAGAATTTGTATTCAATATAGGTTTTTTGGAAAACATTTGAACCATTTTTTTTTGATCTGCTATTTATTTTTAAGCTGATTTACACTTAATAAGTAACGCGTACACAAAATATGTAGTACTTTCAAAATAATATGATGTTTATAGTGACTTATTACACAGCAAATACGGTTTAAATGTGTTTTTTTTTTTAAATTGTGATTATATTATTCCTTATCAAGTTATCAGTAACATTATGGTATACATTTTAATTATATTTTGGGACCAACGTTAAGTTTACACCAATAATTTGGATTTTGTTGGAGATACTGCTTTCTGATAAGATAAGATAGCATACAACTTGGGTACCATTTACACCAATTAATAAAAGAGAGAGGGAGAATAGTTCAACAACAAAGATGGCAACATTTTTAGAAAAAGATAGCATACACCTTAGGTAGTCGGGTCACATTACATTACACATGTATTGACTATCTCTTTCTAACAATCTTATTTCAATAAACTTATGGCAGGGTGTGGGGGAGTAGCAGTCCATATCTTATTATGTCTATGCTCCCGAAGGATGATCGGGCTGTTTGAATAAGTAAAATGTGCATGTATATGACATTGTGCATCGTAGGTACGTCAGTCTAATAATATTCATCGATATGTATTATACTATTATATACATCTCGATGGTAATAATATTATTGTTATTACCTAGTGTTTCTATAATCTATATGGAAGTTAAAAAAAAATTAATCTTTGCACGGGCAATACCAGCTAATAAAATAAAAAATTTTGAAAATATTTTGACTCTTTTTGAGCTGTTTACGGACATTGTCAGTTTTCTATAAATATCAATGCAATTTTATATGTTGGGTAAAAAAACGTGAACATTTTATGTAAGGCTCCTGATATATTGTTACAATAACGGTTGAAAAATATTAAAAATACATAGGCACAATTTTTTTTTATAAGCATTTAAAGTTCAAATGTTGACAACATTTATGAATTTTAAAATGTAATAATTATTTTGTAGTTAAAAATTTATAAAATGTTCAACTTTTATAGCTAAGGATTGAAAATTTAAAACAAGGTTCCACGTAAATAGGTTCTATATAAATTACTTTATTCACAATAATATCATCAAATAACTTAGTAATATACTAGGAAATATTATAGTGGATGACTAACTTTTTCGCTCAGAATCGTTTCCTTATACAATGATATTATACTATTGAATTCAAATTTAACACCATCCATTACAGTGACCCACTTGTAACCTACTGTACATCAGAGCGACGTCCACTTACCCACTTTTTTTCTATGAATATCAATAAAGTTTTATCTGTTGGGCCAAAAATGGTGAAAATATATAATACAAGGCTCCTGATATATTCAGTATAGCAGTTAAAAAATATTAAAAATCCTTATCACAGTTTTCTTTTATAAGTATTAAAAGTTCGATTTTTGACAATATTAATTATCAAATTAAAAAATTGAAAATAAATTTGTAGTTAAAAATTGATAAAATGTTCAACTTATATATTTTAGGATTGAAAATTTAAAACAAGGTTCCACGTAAATAGGTTCTATATAAATATAAATTACTTTATTCACAATTATATCATCAAATATACTTAGTAATATCATAGGCTGACCGTCTTCGCTCAGAATTGTTTTTCTTATATAATGATAATATTATAACATTGAATTCTAATTTAATACAAACCCTTACAGTGACCCACTTGTAACCTACTACTGTACTAATATAAAACTGGAGCGTTTTGTTTATTCGGCAACGGCACACCAGGTTTCCTTATAATGTTGGTCAAATATTTTTAGTTTTTAATAAAAGGTTCCTGAGAAGTCGTTTTCATAACGATTTAAAAATATCGTAATTAAATAAACAGGCACATTCTTTTTTATTTGAAGTTAAAAAGGTGACATTTGTTATCAAATCAATTAAGTAGTTAAGTAAAGTTAAAAATATATAAACATGTAATGAGTTAAAATTGAATTTGAATTTTACATAATATGATTACCTATCCATTTTCCATATTACAATAAAATTTAATATATTATGAACAACACTCGTTACCTATTGGCTATTAACAATATATTTTCAATAGACCTACTTCCCCACCTCTCCGGTTATTTTTTTATGACGTACCTACCTATAGTCAGTACCTACTCAGTTGACTATTATCATTTATTTTACTTTATAATATTTAGTGTAGGTAATATATTATTTCAAATAACTGTACAGTCGATTAAAATATTAATCCATAGTACACTACTTACTGCAGGTATTTCAAGACAATACATTGATTATATCTAAAGTGGAAATAACAGACGGCGGTCAATATAAGTGCGTGGCGTCCAATTCTCTTGGACGAAAATCTTTCGAGGCGATGGTTAACGTAAACGGTAATATCAATATATCATGTATATTACAATGATACTATATAGTCGTATACCATTATTATATTATCATACGAGTTCTAAAACATAAAAAGTGAACATCGTCTGTGAAATACTTTTTTTATTTTTTTCGATATCAGAACTACAAAAAAAGTTATTTAAGTTTGAAAAACACAAAAATAATGGATTTTGAAACAATATCAACGTTTTTCGTATAAGTGATACCAAAAAATTAAAAACAGTGCAGATAATGTTTTGAACTAGGTATATTATATATCTATATCAATTTAGCATCTTCACTATCACTAATATTTGTTATCATTTTAATTTTACACGTAATACAACACAATAACTATCATTTTAATTTTATACGTAATACAACACAGTAACTATTATTTTAATTTTATACGTAATACAACACAATAACTAACCGATACACAAGAGTACAAGACACACATGAACGTTAAATGAATAAAAAAATACAAATATAACTTTTTTACCCACTTAATTTATATTATTTTTTTAAATAACTATAATATGTATAATTTAATTTAGGTTTGGCGGAAAATGGTTCTAATACCATGTTTGGAGTAATACCATATTTTTCTTTTATTATTATTATATTAGCGAATTGCGTATTGCATTTTGACGTATTGTGAAAAATGTATTATTATTATATTTGTGATTTGTGTATTGTATACAATCTATTATTAGTATATTAGTGACTTGCGTATTGTGTATATGCCAATATTTTAAAATATAAAATAAAGTAACCAGAACTGCCAGAACTACAATATAGATTATAGTTTATTATTTTACTGTAAAATTGACTGTTTTTATTTTATACAATAATTTCTAGTCAAATACGATAATCTGTTAAATTGTAATTATTACTAGTTTTAACTTTTAGTGTATTAGTGTGTATTATTATTACTGTTGTTACCTGTAAACCTAACCTAACCTCGTGTACGATTATTGTTATTATTTAATTAGAAATATGCCGACTAATGTGTACAAAAAAATAATGAAAAATAAAGAAAAGTACTTATTGAATATAAAAAAGAAACTTAGAGATCAAATAAATTCCCCAGAAAAACTGTTGCCTCGACAATTTTTTTAAAAATTCCTGATATCACACAAAAAGTCTTTAAGCATGCTTATTAGTGCACTAAAAGATGTGATATCATAAATAAATGCTAAGTAAATCGAATTAAAGTACACTTATTTTGATTCGATAATTTATTTTTTCATGGCGAGAAATTATATACTACACCATTGTAAAATATATGAAGCTAAATACATTCATTCAGAATTAAATTCTCCACAACCAAAATTCCTAAATAATTGTTTTGTCTTATTGGTAATATTTTTTATTAGTAGTCTTAGTAGTTTTAAAGTAAAAATGTTATGCAATTTTTATTAAAAAGTTATTATGAAAGTAGGATTTTTTCAAATTTTTTCAAATTTTTTCAAATTCATTACAGATATATATTTTTTTCAACCATTAAGACTCTTTAATTTACTTATATGGTATAACATTATAAATAATATTTTTTATTATTAGGTGCTATAAAAAACTGTCATACCAACAAAGAATATTATAAAAAAATTTAATATTTTAATCTATTCTGTAGTATTACTAACATACTGTACCATTTTGAAATGATTTTCAATGTTATACAAGTCATAGTACAACATAATATTATGTTTGTATTAAAATTAATTAACTAAAAATTATCTTGTCAATCTGCATTGTATATTCGAAACTTGTGCCGGACCGCATCAATTTTATTGTATGCATAATACGTATATTAATGTGTGCATGAAATAGATTTTAAAAGTTACATTTAAAAAAATTAATTTTGTATGGATTAATTTATACTAAAACACAAATAATGAACACAATTTATTAATGTTACTTAAAAAAGCATTTTAAAAATATGCCACGCCAACCATCAATGTGGTTTGAAGTATATTTGTCGACTTGAATAAAATAAAACAATATGCTTTACGTAATAAGTTTTTTTGCGAAATAATTTTAAAGCTATAAGAAAGTATAAACGCACCATGCTAAAATAATTGAAAAAGAAATTGACAAAGAAACATTAACTTAATTTTTTTTAAAGAAACAAAGTTTCTGTTGCCACGGTTTTTTAACTACGTAATGAAAAAACGAATATTGATCCTTTTATTTTTGTACATAGCCACATAGGCAGTATATTATATTATTGTACATCTCAAATATTATATTTAACATAGAAACTAAATTATTACGAGTTTTGACTTACGGAACAGTATGGATAATTTATTAACTTTTATGAAATTGTTTTAAATACTTTTAATATTTTCTGTAACATTTAAGTCTCACTAATAATGAGTAATGGTTGTATATCATAAATTTATGATTTACCTAACTACCAGAGTGATACTGGACCATACATATTAAGATATTATAAGAATTCTTATAATATCAGCTTTGTACACGACGTGTTCGTTTTTGGTAATGATACATGTCACTGAGATAACATGTTTTCCGTGGTGGCGGTGTGTATATTACATCTACTATTATAAATTATTTGTGTAATAATATATTAGAATTTATTACTAAAAATTAAAAAGTAATAGCATTGATTATATAATATAATAACTAGCTGATCCCCTGCACTTCGTTTCTCGTTAAATATACCAACTCTATATGACTCAAACTTTGTTCAATTTGTTATTTAATATTCGGTGTATGGTGTTCAAAATGTATCTTAACTTTTCCGTTGCCCGAAATAAAAATTCTGATTTGCAGCAGTATATTATCCGGTAGATCGCGGACCCCGTGCTGTTTGTACGTAAGTGTATGACTTAACTAACAAAGTATCAAAGTTATACCAAGTTTGTCGTATTCCATCTATGGTGGATTAATATAATCAATTAATACAAAATCCTAACCTAACCAAACACACTAATTTCAGATGAATAAGAAAAACCAAATTTATCAATTTTTAAATTATCCTGTCTTCTTCCCAGGGGTCTAATATACACGCAGACATTCATTTAAAATAATAATAATAAAAATAATAATAATTCAAATCAACAAACATGCCCGATTATCCAATAGCAACCAATATAATATAATACACTGTTGCGCCACTATTGTATTTTTACATCCAGATTTCCCACTTTTCCGGTGGATTTTCCTATAATTTTCTTTCGTAAAAACCTTCTCCTGGCGATTACGAACATCTTAAAAAACATTTTAGCCAAATCCGACCAGCCGTTCTCGGGTAGGTTAGGTATCGTTGATGAGGTATAACGACATTTTCACGCTCCATTTTTATATATTAAGTGTTTATAAGGCGTGAACCTGTGTTATATGAGCACGTCTCAATATATTTACTTCTGCACGTTCCTCTTGCGTTCGATTATAACGGACATTCTCACAAATTATTGCATTACGTATACGTCGTCCAATGTTTTATCTTCTAATAGGAGTCATCAGTCAAGCAAAATATTCTCTTCAAAAAATAACAAAGTTGTTTTTGATTAATCCTATTGAAAATAAAATACTCAATATTTAATAATACTCGTGCATGTTATAAGAAATGCAGGTTTTAAATAAGTGATTGCTAATTAGTAAAATAAAATAAAATAAAATAAAATTGTATTCACGCAGTTTTTCTGGAAAATGGAAAGTGAAGTCGTAATAATAAATTAATAATAATAATAAAATAATGAACACAAACCTATAAAATAACTATAGAAACCATAGATTATACTGATTGTACATCGAGCTGATAAATAATAATAAATAATACAGTAGTATTAATTGCCATAGAGAGGTCTACGTCTACCACAGAATAAACAAAGACAACGGTATCGAGTTCAAATCCTAGACATCAATAAATAGTTTTTGCAGTTTTTCCAATTATTCGGTTGACTTTTTAAAAATTTTCTTTCATAAAAACCTTCTCCTGGCGATTACGAACATCTTAAAAAAATTTGAGACAAATCGGACCAGCCGTTCTCAACTGATGAATTGTTATACATTTTGGCTTCATTTTTATATTTATAGATAATTATAATAGATATTATGTATTATATATAATATAAGTTTCCCTTCTTGAGATAACTACTTACTACTTGGACTATACAAAGTGATATCCAAGCTTGCTCAGTCCAATTTTCATACTAATAGATAAGTCATAACATTGTTCATTGGTTCAAAGATATATTTCGTAGATAATATTATTATTGTTAATAATCATTGTATTGATTCCTAAGTTTTAAAATGTTTATATTAATAATTAGTTTTATTCAATAGCACACACTCCCATTGATATTCCCCATATTATATTATATTATGTAATTATTAAATCTAATTTTTAATTTTTAAATTATATTTTATATAGTTTAAACGAGTTAAATATTAATATATTATATTATATGTTATAAATTATAAGTAATGAGAAAAACATGGGTTCAAAATAATAGGATTTTGATGCAATTGGTTGCATCGGTGTATTTACGGGTTTGGGGATTTGGGGGATCAATCCCTACTTGGTATTTTTTTTTTTTTGCTATTATTAAAGGATTCAAGTATATATATATATATTGACACTGAATCGTCAATCGTTATAGTATTTACAGTGTATTTTTCATTTTCTTAAATCCAGTAAGAAAAAAGTCAATTATAAAATTTATTCAAAATGTACACTTATTTTTATATATATAGATAATGCTTACTTCAATAATTTAACACTGGCCATCGCTTGTTATCTCATTAAAGTTATATTTCTCAGTAGAGTTCATCTATACCTATAGGCTACAGTCTACTATTCTCACCTTTTTGGGATTATCTATTCAATATTATCAATATTTCACTAACAAAAAAAAAATCTTAATCTAAAAAATAAAAAGACTCTGACATGCATCCAATATAGCTATAATATAATATAACTATATTATTATTACGTATTCTTATAAACCTTGTAACTAATATAACTACTCTGTTTATTTATACGTACAACCTTGTACCTACTGCAGGTTT